GCCCAAACTATCAAGAGGTATTGATCAGTATGACAAAAACGGGAGCTCTTCTGACAGCCAAGTTGGTCTCAGAGTCACACAAGTGATAATGCAGAAGTATAACCGTCGCTTTATCCATTTAAATTCAACCAACTTGGATGGCTATGATAAGTGCTAGAGTAAGCACTATAGTCATAATACAATAATGCATTCATAGCGAATCATTACAATATATTGTTCCTGTTTTTATCTCTTGAATATAATTTAGTGTAAATCCATACTGTTTAATTTAAATTACTTTAATTATATATTTTCAGATATATAATTTTATATTAGCAATATAGAATTCTAGAGCAAAACACCAACAAAGACATCTATGATTCTTTTGTTTCCTCTCGGACAATGTTGCCTTTATTAATAAACAAATCCAGATTCCTCTGTTCATGGAAAAGGTTTTATCTAGATTAAGATTTTTTTCTTGTTTTCAAACTTGCCTTTCTGTTATTACCCAACTTATTGGTACACATTTCATTCAACCGTAGAAAACAAATGTCATTGTGGAAGCGAAACCTGCAATCTGTGATTATATTCTTCTATGCATTAACCCACTGAGTCATCACGCAGCCTGTATAGGAGAACCATATATATTAAATTACTATACCCATTTATGAGTGAGTGGGTGGGACAGGACCCATCACTGAAATGGCTGCATGTTCCCTTTAATAGAACTCACCTTTATAATGTCTTCTGTTGTACGTTCCACGGATTTCAATCTCTGCAGAACCCGCACCTCTTTTGCAGACAGCTGGGATTCCTCCTTTTCAAGATCTCCAATTTCTTGTTCAAGTCTACAATTAGAACATTATAGAATTCCATCATTATGCCAAGGTTCTAGCGAACAGCATATGTTCCACTATGCATTACTGGATAATTGCATTCATGGCTATTTTATACTACACAGGAGTTTGATTTTTAATCCTACATTCCTTCCACTTCTGGAGATGAGACCAGTGGGATCTGTAATTACCTTGGTACTGAATAAATAAGGACTGTTTGCCATTGAATATATGTTTCACTTGGCAGCACCCCCTCCTTCTGGTTAGTTTGTTCCTGGGCTTTATTACAGCATATAAACACAGCAGAAACCATTTATACAAAGTACAGACTCCATTTATTGTGCAAGTTTATTATATGTACAATTTATGTACATCAGTATATTTAAGTCTACAGACCTAACTTTGCAATAAGCTTGCACTGTGATGGGAGACATGGGACAGAATGTCCAAATTGCTTTAGTGCTTTATGTGCGAAAGTGTGTCATTTTCTAAAAGTGCCAATTTCTATTGCATCAGACCATCAGTGCTGTTGCTTTTTGGTAGTTTGGCTCAGCAAGTTTGTGATTGGCCAGTCATAGACCGTCCATACTGGGGCAGAAGGGGAGAGCTTGCAATAGCTGCAGATACTAGATACATAGCTATTGCAAGCCGAGATTTCATATACCATTTTTTATTAAAAAAACATACAAAATAAATAACATGCATATTTTCTTTGGGTTTACATCATCTACTAAAATGTTAGTGTTTTTTATAAAGTGTTCCTTTAAATAAATTCATATCACGTTAAAATGTGGGCTTCACTCTTTAACTCCTTAAGGACACATGACATTTGTGACATGTCATGTTTCCCTTTTATTCCCAGAAGTTTGGTCCTTAAGGGGTTAAAAGGATATTTTGCAGAATTCTAATCTCGAACAAAATTTACAAATTCAGTTATTTAAGGATGAATTGTTTATTCCCATGCAATCATCACTCACTGAGCCATCTTGGAAAATACTGAAGTAAACTTTTGTGGTGGGGATGCATTCTGGGAAAACAATGCTACCTTTGAAAGCTCAAGGATTATATTTTGCCAACAGGACCAGACAAAACTTGTGCTCTCATAACGTAATGTGTTTCATAAGCGAAAAACCATAATTCTGCTTTCATGTTCTACATAAACAATAATATTCCTCTAAGGCTCACTCGCTTCTCACATCGCCTCAAACAATAAACGGATTTATTTCTTATTCATATATAAAATGTTTTACCAGTAAGAACAGATCGCGATTTCTTTTATTTATATTATATGCACGGTTGTTAAAGGTCTGTTGAAACCATGGAGGATTGCATTGTATCCAAAGACAAATATTCCATGAGTCTCAACTCATCTGTTCCTGTGCGTCCGACTTGTCTGGTTACAATTTAGTGTCTGTTAGTCCACCCATTGTACTGCGCTACGGAATTTGCTGGCACTATGTAAATAATAAAATAATAATAAATATGGAATTCATATCCCTGTGGATTCTAAAATGGCAAGATGTGTCCATTTGTGTTTTTGTTTTACTTTAGTTATATAATTTGTGCAGCTAGAAAATAATTTTAGGAATTTAATGGACAGAATGAATAAATTGTGGGAAATTGTATTAATATACAATATTAGCCAGAATATAAAAAAAAAAATTAAAAGGAAATTTCACACTGGTATAGCGACATTATTGACAGTATTGTGAAGGTTATATATAAATGTCACTGGATTAATCATGATATATTTGTCCAATTAATTAGTAAATGCAAATATCAAATATTGCAAAAGAACCACCAAAAGCAGATTAAACCAAGTGGAAACGAATTGAACTTTATCAAACAGACAATTAGGATAAGATATGAACAAAAAAGGGAATGGTGCCATCATCCCATTTAACTTTCATTAAATCCTAAATTAAATGTCAGCAGAAAGCAAGTGTCAACACAGACTGCATGATTCTCATGTCACCAAATCAAGGGACCAAGAGAATTTTTTTTTTTTTTTTAAAGTATTGCTGCCACAGGACCTCTCATGCCAAACTGTGCATTGTATTCAGTCTTTTGCGGTCTGTGTTTTATAGCCTCTGACACTGAAAGGGCTTATGATTCTGCAGGTAGCAAATGGGCAATAAACATATTTGCTGCATGATCTATTAAATTAAAGCGTTAGCTCTGATCTAAACAGGTTTATTTTTCACCATGAAGTATGGTGTATAACTTAGGTGTGACAGTCTGCAAACACAACAAAGACTTAATGACTGTTCTCATATCTTCATGTAATCAAGGTAATTATTGCTATGATACAGAGAAGGAGCAAGTAAATAATTCCCATGTAAATTAATATTGCATTTAACAGCAGCTGACAGTAAACTAACCCTTCACTGTAAACTTTTTCCTGAACACGAACTACATCCTACCCTTACCTTTTGTGCCACTACACCCCACTCCCTCTAGCATGTAAGCTCGTTGATCAGGGCCCTCAACACCCCTTTTTTTCTGCGCGTCCAACTCGTCTTGTCCGACTTTGTTGGCACTTTATAAATAAAAGAGGCAAAATTGTGCAAGTACAGGGACAAAAAACTGTTACCTCTTTACTAGGATACTGCATAGCTAGGAATAGTTTCCTTGTTATCTCAGCTAGTGGAGGCGAAGCATCCACTTATTGACCGGCGCATGTGGAGTAAAGGTAAGTAAAACCTTTTTTATTAGTTTGGGAGGGGAATCAATCAAAATAGGTATGGTAACACTCTAGTGGGAAGATAACATGTTGTATTCTTAATGCTATAAACTGTCATTTGTTTTTCTTTCAGTTTTCCTTTACTTATGTAAGGGATTGTATCTTAATGATTACACTCCCCCCATTACCCTGTCCCTTATTTTATACTTCTTCCATGTGCTTTAAAGAATATTACATTTTTCCTAGACTATATATATATAAATTTAAAAAAGAGACTTATTCCAATCTCCCTAACATATACACATTTATTACATGCTGGATCTCAATACCAGGGTGCTGCCATTTTATTCTCTGCCAATAAAGTTTGCCATGTGCCTTTCTGTGGGATTCTTTTGACTGATGGATTGTGGGTAAATTAGTTTAGCAACTGGAATGTGTAACTTTGATTAAGCTCCATCCAGTTCCCCAAAAAAATGCCAAAGATCATGCTTCACATAAGAAAAAGTAACTTACAAAAAAATATCTAAGGATAATTACAAAAATGAAATAAAATAAAACCAAGGAGAAATAGACAGACGAAGAGGATTACATTTAAAAGCAAAACCATCAAAGTGACAGAGCTGCTTTAAGAGTAATGATAGATCATTCTAATCAGATAAATAGAAGCAAGCTTAGAAAGCTACTTAACACGTAATTAGCCGTTAATGCATCGTCCTAAGTAATTGGGTCTTCCTAAGAAGTGTTGGTGTTTTTTTTGTTTTTTTTATGGTAGCACACTAATGCTGGTAGTGTATCATTCTATTTGGAATTTAATGTCTCATCATTAGTGTATTTTGGCTTTAATGTCTCATCATTTCTTATAAAAGTCGGATTTCTTCAAAGACAGTAAAAGTAGTAACTCATGAGAGCCTCAAACGATTGAACAATTCTTATAATAGGGCATGAAGTATAAGGAGGACGTAGGATGACACTGTCAGATTACGGTCATACACTCGTTAGCTATGATTCAATCTTCTCTATTAAAGTGATGTAATGTTCCCCACTTTGAACTCAGCAGTATTGTTTTGAGTATCATGATAATGCCTTTTAGAGTAGCACAGCATGCTACGTGCGCGAAGTATCAGAGTGGATCTGGTGTAAAGGCATTTTGCTTTTCACGGGGAGAGAAATACTGATGAGAAAGCTGTGCACATTGAGTATTCAATTAGAAGAGAACATTTATGTTCATCTAGTATAAACAGAGTAATACGTCAACAGTTTTCAATTAGAAGTCCACTTTATGGGTGACCTGTATATAGTGATGCAACATAAGCATCATTTTTACAACTTGTGGTCCTAATTTTCCACTAAGCAAGAGGGAAGGGTGTCAGAATTGGTTCAATAATAATAAGGGGCAGTTTAGTCACCACAACAACTTTAGCTTAATGAAGCAGTTTTTGTGTATAGATCATGTCTCTGAAGTTTCACTACTCAACGCTCTGCCATTTAGGAGTTAAATCACTTTTGTTTCTGTTTATTCAGTCCTAGCCACACCTCTCCTGGCTGTGACTGACACAGCCTGCATGATAACAAAATGGTTTCACTTTCAATCAGATGTAGCTTACTTTACAAGTTTAAATCTCCTGCTCTGTAAATAAAACCAAAATTACACACAGGATGCTCCTGTACGGTCTAGCAAGCTAATAACAGAGCAGGGGATGAGAAATTCTAAATGAAACAGAATTTGCAATAAAGGAAGTGTATACATTAGATGACTCTTTACAGGAAGTGTTTAGGAAGCCTGTGTAAGTCAAATGCAGGGAGGTGTAACTAGGGATGTATAAACAAAGTGACTTAACTACTAAACGGCAGATAATGGAGCAGTGAGACTGCAGGTGCATGATACATTCATTAAGCGGAAGTTGTTTTGATGACTATTGTATCCCTTTAATGTATTTTGCAGGAGGAAACAACATAATATCTTCTTCTAGTGGCAAACACCGCTAATGCCCTGCTCAAACATGTTAACCCAAGGTAGGTATTGTCTAGGGCACTAAGTCTACAGAGTTTCCTGCCATGGGACCACCATTTGTGGCACTGAGGGTGTGCAAGGAAGGAGAAAGAACTATGTGCAAAACTATCAGTCCTATTGGGAATCATTGCTATACCACATAAGGCAGAACATACCTGACAATACTGAGTTCTAGGGATTTGATCTGCTTTTGGTCTGCTTGGCTTTGCCGTAATGTTTCCTCCTGTTCCTCTGGAGACATTGTACTTAAGCCATCTAAAAGCCATTTTTCCCGCAGAGATTTTTTCTAAAAAAATAACAGTGTTTGATTATTAAAAAAATGATCATTGTTTGCAACCTTTTCTCTATACATTACAATAGAGTACATAAAATCAGTTTGTATCTTCTTGAGAGTGAAGCCCAGAATTCAAAACATCCAACGATGAATGCCGCTGATGTTGTTTTCCCCCATACAATTATACACTATAGATGTGTAGCTGATATTCAGGCCTGAAGATGATTTCTTAATGAAGTTATGAGTTTCTCTTCATATAAATTACAGCAGATATGCCCAGTCATGAACACTGGATTCTAACTCGAGGTTGTGACTCTTTGATATTTAGCAACGCATGCATAGCTCATCCAAAAATAATTTCATAACAACAGTCAGTGTTCCTGGCTCAGCTGATTCCAAACAGGACTTGATTGCACATGAATCCGATTTTGCGAATGCCTGGGTTGTGATGAAACTTAGTGGTGACTACATTCGATATATCTGCATGTGCCATGAAACCATAACAGAGTAATGTGTTACTACATAACAAACGCAGATCAATAAAATAAAAATAAAAAATCCTGTACAACTATGTAAGTTGGGTATACCTTTCAACAAGCAGGCACTAATCATTGGTTGATCACTTGCATTGGTTGAACATGCTCCTGTGATACGAATACTGGCCATCTACCCCAAAACCCAACGAAGTCAGTTCTGTGCTGCCTTCTTATTTGACGTAAACTAGGCTGGTATTCTGTGCACCCGTCACACTACACATCGGGACCTACTAACTAAGGCCTCAATTTAATATTGTTGGATACGTTTTCCAAGTAATTTAATATTAAAATATCAGAAAATAAATCGTATATCACTATATCAAAAAAATATAAAAATATTACAAAAAATAAAAATATATATTTTTATTATGTTAAATCATTGTAAAAGATTATCTAAAAATATTAAATAATTTGGAAAGGTTATCCAACAATATTAGGTAGAGGACTACGTTTTACTCGCCAGATGAAAATGAATCTGAAAATGCATGAAAATCAAAGATGTATTATTCTCCTAAATTCAGAGTCCCTCAACAGTCTGGGTTAACTAAATACCAGGTTATACTTACAGAGTTCTACAAAGTTCACATGAATATGGCAGAAACGCCAATGTCTTAATTTAATATTGTTGGAAAGGCTTATCAAATTATTTCATAATTTTGAATAAACTTTCTAAATGAGTTAATATTAGGGAAAATATTTTAATTTTGTGATTTTTTTTTTTGTATATAGCTGTATAACAATAATAAAATCAATGGCTCTGAGTAAATCAGTACAAACAGGCTTGAAATAGTATTTTACAATGTACCATTTGGCTATCTTTATTTCAAGAATACAACAGCCAATATGAACATAAAATGTAATGCGAATTGGCCCATTTTGTCAAATCGGGTTATTCTACACAGCAAAAGGTGTACTTTTAACATTCATATGATTAAATACCTTGTTGGTGATAGTTTCTCTTTAAGGTCTGCCAAACGCTTCATTGCCAAAGGAAAATATTTGTGTTAATTTAGGAGTTCAGCCAAACAGAGCTGAACAATTACCTTTACAAATTACTTCATTTTTAATTCATGACTTAAAATGGGTTATTGTTCGGCAATATGTACTGTCGCCACCTATTGTCTGCTAAATGGGTTGTGTAGTAATTTGAAAGGGAGACGCAATTAGTTTTAGAAGAACTTTAGCCTTGTTACAGTTTGGAAAATGCATCCCAAATCATCATAACACACCGAAGACATTTTGTGACCATTTAGCTACTTTTAAAGCAATATTATTATTGTTATTGCTACACAGTGAGTGAATATTATGGGAAGACACTCAAACAGAGGTAGTATGCAAACTATAGCAGGATATCGGGGCTTTATGAGGCAAACAGCGCGGCCTGCACAAAAGAAAATGGAGCTGACATTATTCCTGCTCCTTGGATTTGGAGAGGTCCTGGGGCAGCATGGCAGACATGATCATATCTCCTCAGATTAGGACAAATGCATGCCATCTACTAATTCCGACAGCAAAGAGTTACTGAAGATGATCAGAGTCACATATCAGTGGTGAGAGAGGAGGCCATTGTCTTCAGAGGCGGCATCATGGCCGCCAAGGAAAATATCATCAGGTTTACACACTCTGCAACTAGACTCTCAGTCCTCATGAAAAGCCTGTGGCAAACCTCACCTGACCTCCAAGAGAGGGTAGTGGCTCTTGGGATAAAAGTCGCTGTTTAAAATTATAGCTTTTATTTGTTCAAACAATAAACATTTAATTTACATTATAAACAATAAAATTCACTGATTAAACCCACACATTAGAGGCATTCCAGATGAGCTTGAGAGGGAGGAATTCTTTATATGCAGAGATAGCTAGCCACACTGACACTGTTTAGGTGTCACAAGCCAATTGTGTTTGTACGATGATTTTACTGCTCAATAAAACAAAAAAAGAGTCAACAACTGTGCACTTCTGGGAAACCTGACAGTACTCTGTTGAGAAAGAGATTATATATATATATATATATATATATATACACACACACACATACATACATACATATACACACACACACTCAAATCCAAACTCTTGCACTCCAACCTCCAGTTAGAAAATAAACCAGGTGCCAAGTAACACTGTAAATACCGTATTTAGAAAATACCAGCACGCCTGGCTTTATAATTAATGTTGTTCTTTTATTGTTAGAGACCTCAACGTTTCAGTTCCTGAATGGAACTTCCATCAGGACAGATGCCCTGATGAAAGTTCAGGTGAGGAACTGAAACGTTGAGGTCTCTAACAATAAAAGAACAACATTAATTATAAAGCCAGGAGTGCTGGTATTTTCAAAATAAGGTGTGTATAAATAAATATATAGGTTATCTCCTGCACAGAACCTCCATTAACTCTCCTGAGCAGCAGCAAAGGCATAGTCCATGGTTTCACAGCATCCGCTAATTGCCGTAGTGGTTACCTAAACCCTGCACTGCCATATAAAGTTATGGGAGCATGATGATTGGCTGAGTCACTTCATGGTCATGGATTACATCACATGTGAGTGTCTTATTATAGAATTATTGATATTTGCATATAAATTTTAAAGTATTATCTATGCAAAATACTCAAAAAATAAATAAAATAAAAAATAAATGGAATGGGTTAACTCCAGCCTGGAGAATCCAATTAACCTCACTTTATCAGCATGTTCTCTATCACGTACAGACCTGAAAATTAACCTCACTTTATCAGTATGTTCTCTATCACGCACAGACCTGAAAATTAACCTCACTTTATCAGCATATTCTCTATCACGCACAGACCTGAAAATTAACCTCATTTTATCAGCATGTTCTTTATCACGCACAGACCTGAAAATTAACCTCATTTTATCAGCATGTTCTCGATATCATTCACAGACCTGAAATTAGATTATTTACAGATAGAACTGCACACATAAAGTACTCCTGGGCCCAATCTGTATGACAAGTCCAGTGGAGAACAAAATGTACCAAGCCAGCTCTTTTTGCAAATATTCTTCTGATGAATGCAAAACAATCAAAATTGCCATTTATGTAAAGGGCTACAGTTTATTGTTTAGACGCCTTCCCACCCAGCCAACGCTATACCTACTCTATTATAATCTGCACAATAAATTTCTTGTGATAAGGTCAGAGTGAATCAATATAACTTGAACGGCAGGCAGTGAGTCATGTTTAATGGTATACTACGAAAGGGTGAATTATGTTCCGATTCATTTTCCTATTCATTAATTTGGACAATAAGTATGAATTCATATTTGCAGTTTGCTGGACTTTAAAGCTGCTTTTATTACAATGTGGACAGACAGTTTATATCGGATATACATCTAATCTGAGCTATTCTATTAACTATTTCTTATTTAAAATGTATTCTATACCATTTTCAGTTGATTACCCACTGTATGTGATTTACTGTATCTATATCGTTACATGCCAGTTAAAGGGGAACGGTCACTTTTCTAGACGTTACGTATCTGTTTAAAACGTTGAAAATCACCGACAACTCGCATTATTCTTTTAATGAGACCCTCTGTTATTTTTTTATCTTTACTTTAGAGATTTAGCAAGTGACATCAAATTGTAGTTCGGACAATTTAAAGGCAGGACAAACATGGCGAGAAACAAACGTGGTTTAGTTTCCTGTGTTCTGTATTCTTTGTCTATGCTCACTTCCAGGTGCAAAGGACGGAACTAATAACAATAAACGACAGGCTGCCAAGATGGAGGAGCCCATATGACGGATAAAAAGTTGTGGTTTTCTACTTTGCATTTTAATTTTCACACCTCATCTACACATATTTGTTACATACAAGGGCTAAGTGAACATGATGTTAAAAATCCTGGGCTATGACATTTCCATTTTAAATTTCAAAATGAATAAGCATTTCCACGAATATTTATTTTACTTGATGAACTACCAAATCCACTTGTGTAACTAGGTTAATTGGAACGGAGAACGGAGAATTTTATTAAAATTAACTAGCTGACAAACACCTTGTAGGCTGAAGTACACCTGTCATAAATAGAGATGACACAATGTTTAGCATTCCATCCAAACTGCTAGCAATTTGTTGCGTTAATGTTCCGAATTATTTTTCTTTTCCACTTCGACTTAAAATCCTTTACCATTATGCCAAGGATACAACACTTTAACAGTTAAGAAAATAGAAACTTAGTATCACTGCACCCTACAGGTAAATCCACGTCAACTCCAAATGGTATATACTGTATACACATCATTGGCTTAATTACCTTTAAATGATGTAGTTTTAATTTCTCTTCTTCAATGGTCAGTCGTCTTTGTGCAATATCTTCTTGCAACCTTCTCTTGTCCTGAGCAAAAAAATAAATAAATGAAAATAAATTAGATCTGTAAATAGAAATTCTTTGGCACACATGAAGTCTAATGTAGCCTCCTTTCTACCCTCCAGGCATTGCTGACTCACAGATCCATTATGATGCTTTGTACAAACTGGCTACTTTTTATTTTTCCCTGCATTCAATATTTTTGATACACTCAGGGGCATCAGGTACGATCAATCAAATAATGGAATTAAAGTATCACTATAGTGTCAGGAAAACTACACGGTTTTCCTGACACTATAGTGCCCCTTCAGCAGCTTACCCTTTTCCAGCGCCGAGGCTCCCTCGGCGCTGGTGACCTCTCTTACCCCGCCGACGTCAGCAAAGTCGAATGGGCGGCAAGTGCCGCGCGCGCATTCAAGCTGTCAATAGGAAAGCATTTTTCAATGCTTTCCTATGGACGCTTTGTGTGATGGAGGCATAATATGCCTCCAGCATCGCAGATGCGCCTCTAGTGGCTGTCCGGAAGACAGCCACTAGAGGCTGGGTTAACCCTGCAATGTAAACATAGCAGTTTGTCTGAAACTATGTTTGCATCTGCAGGGTTAAAACCTGAGGGACCTGGCACCCAGACCACTTCATTGAGCTGAAGTGGTCTGGGTGACTATGATGTCCCTTTAAGTATTACATGGAATCGCATATGCCAGTGTTGGTTAACTACCACCGTGGTAGTTGAGAAATGCATTTCTCATCACATTGGCAAATCCAACAACTGCTTCAAAACAGCCTTCATTAGCAGGTTGGCCATCATTGTCATTAGCCAATGGCAGGCAGCAATAAAGCAGTATTTAACATAATACTATAGGAATCAAAACAACTTTAGCGTAATTAAGCTGTTTTGGTGTGTAGATCTTGCCCCTGCAGTCTCACTGCTCAATTCTACGTCATTTAGGAGTTAAATCACACAATAACTAATTTGTAAAAATTCTTCAAGCCAGCTGTTTTTTAGATTTTCAGAATTAAATTTGCTTATCCCTGTTGATATCCTGCACATAGCATTTTAATTCTATATACCACGGGAAGGCACTTTACTGGTCCTATTTATCAATAAGTACAAGTAGTGTTTGTCCAGAAATAGAGGGAGAGTCTGGCAGCCCCAGCTTATTTGCATAGGTGAACTGACGGATGTTTTCTGCACAACTGCTGAACTTGTCCCTGTAACACGAGTTCAGGGGTTAAGTATTTTACAGATAAAGGGTTTAAATATAGATAGCATCTGACTAAACAGCATTTCTAGCACCTAATAACTGGTGATTCAGTTTGGATCTAGGCACACAGCTGCTCCATACAGCGCCAAAACCAACAAGCCAGTTTCCAGCGTCTCATCTGAAAAAGCGACTTCAAGTGGAGAATTCTACGCCATGGTTGTAATTTGCAACAGGAATCTGTAGAATGAATCCATGGTAACTCTGGTTTGTGTATTCTGGATGTTTCCTTTGGCATAATGACTTATTTTCCAGTAAAAGTTTAAACCTGCTGTTTGGACCAACATCTCACATAGCAAAAAATGTTGGGTGTTGTAGTTCCACTACCTGTCAGTGTCCACAGTTCTAAACCCCAGCTTTTAATGGTAGAAGAAACAAAATTCTCTGTAAAACTGTAGCAGGTGAACTCTAATTGTGCTGCCTATTTAAAAATCAAAAAGGTCCTGTGGCCATGCTTAAGGTGTTTAAATTCGGCCACCTCGTGGGATTGAAGCTTAAAGGAAAACTCCAGACTCATAAAGCACATTATCTGTGAAGAGTGTGTCCTCTTTTTCTAATTTTACAAAAAGTTTAGATTTTAATAGAAATTTTGCACTTTTATACATAAACCTTGTAACACTCCTGGCTGTCAATCAGAACCGTCACTCTTACTTCCTGGCTTGGTTAGCTCAATGGAGCTAAACTCAATAGGCAGTAATTGCTCAAAGCATCTGCCTTGCAAAGATTTTTCATTGAGCTGTATTGGGAAGTCTGTGATTGGACAGCCGCAGAAAGTCTGGGTGGGGTCAGAAGGGGAGGGCTTGCAAAGGCAGCAGACAAGAGATCTGCAGCTTTTGCAAACTTTTTCATATAACCCATTGAAAATATGCATAATTAATTGCATTAATGTTTTCATTGGGCATGTCTTCAAAATAGTGATGATTTTTATTTTGTGGGCAGTCGAGTGTAATTTTAACTTTGCCTACCTCCTCTTCACCTTAGCAGCCGCACCCATATACAGGTCATTATCACTAAATTCACAGATTTTGTCCCATTTACTTTTGCACAAGAGGTCACAGTGCCATGGGCCCTTATTACTTAGGTATGCTTACTAAGTATTTATGATATATATATATATATATAAAGCCATGACTTTTCTGTGCGTCACAATGGGTTCATGAAGATACAATTATATAAAGACAAACAAATTTACATACACATTAGTATTTTAATGATGATGGATTGCTTGTCCCTCTGAAATTGAACTGGGGTACCTCGTTAAGGGAATAAAAATTCATCTAATAGAAAGAAAGGGGCTGTATTGCTCCTTAAGCAATTGTAACTGTTAGGCCATTGGCTGTTCAGAGGGAGGGGTAGAAGGGAATACTTTCCCCCTTCCATTCTATTTCTGCTCCCAGGTGTTCTGCATGGCGACCTAACTGGATGGTTGTTTTTTTTCTGTGCCACACTGCAATATTTATGTCTATGGGCAACTGAAATGTAATTATTTATTTATCAAATATTTTACCAGGATGGATACATTGAGATTATTTAGTTTTCAAGTATGTCCCAGGTCCGCAAAACATTGCATTGTTACAATAGAATACAAATTACAAAAATACAATATACAAACTATATAAATATATTCAAGCATGACAGGTGCATTCTGTGCTGAGGTATATTGCCATAGATCTCTTAATGAATTGAGATTTGACTGTGTCCCTGAGGTTATTCTATAATTGCGGTGCTCTGTAGGAAAAAGGAGGATTGAGCCACTTTATTTTTGTATTGCGGTATGCTAAATATCGTGCTAGTACTGGATCGGAGGTTATAGGAGGTGGGAACAGCCGTGGAAAGCATTCTACTCAGGTAGGGTGGGAGTTTCCCAGAAATGCTCTTATGCACAAGGCTGGAAAGATGAAGATAAATATAGTCTTTTCTTATCTCTTATTTTTTGCTCATCCGAACATAGAAAAACGGTCTTTTAATATTTGAGAGAGTTAGAAAATAAAATCTAGTGTTAAGACTTTAAAATGCTCGGTTAAGGTACCATTGGGATAATTTGGTAATTATATTAGGAAAAAGTATCTCCTATCATTTAATTTAACATACTTTGAAATATATAAAAAGGTTGTGGTGACTGTCATGTCCATGTTATATTTCACTCTGTTTTGTACAATCTATGATTCATTACATTTGTATATTCATTATTTATATAGCGCCAGCAAATTCCGTAGTGCTGTACAATGGGTGGACTAACAGACACATAATTGTAATCAGACAAGTTGGACGCACAGGAACAGAGGGGTTGAGGGCCCTGCTCAATGAGCTTACATGCTAGAGGTTTATGGATGGAAACCCCATTTCCTCTCCTTATTGTTACTCTCCCCTCCCTATTTTATACCCCAATATTAATTGTTATATATTTGTTCAAAATTTTGTTCTGTTTGAAATTGTTTTGAAAAATGTTCAATAAAATAATTTGGAAAAAAAACAAAAAACGGTCTTTAGTTCTCAGGTTCCTAACGCTACTTTCAGCCTTGACTTCCCATTTCCTGTTGAACCATAATGCCCATTACACTAAGCCAAAGGTTGGCTGAGTGGTATGTGAGTTGAAGTCACACAGCAGAAGGTCCAGAGATTACACAATGCCTTGAAATTTTTCCAGTATTTAACACAACTAATGTTAAACCGCTGCAGCTGTACGTGTTTGTTTATAAAATCTGCCTAAAAACATTCCGTTCAGATATATTTTTGTTCCATTATCTCAGTGCTGTTTCAAAGCAGTTTCTATAGGAACCTTTATTAAGTCTTAGTCAGCGATAACCAGGGGAAGGCTGAGTGGAGCGCGTGGGTTGTGGGTATAGATTTATATAATAATGAGAAATATTCATACCATGGAAGTGCTTCTTCCTCATTGAAAGCATTCAGCTGTTGTCATATTTGTATTGTGTGGATTAATGACATTCCTGCATTTGCAGTTTACCTGTATCTCTGGGGTCAGCTCCCGGTCATTAAAAGACAGGTGTGCATCATGCTTTATTGGCAGGTGTGTTATGTTATCACGCATACTGACACAGATAGCGAGCCGAGGGACACAAATGTCATTCATGAGTGTGTCAATGGGATGCAAGTTCCCCTCAGCATTGTGCGTTGACACCTGTGTTCTCTAGCAGACAGAGTCATTTCCTGAACCACGTATGAACTCCAGCAGAGGCCCAACCAGTAAATGGCCTGGATGGGTTTCAAAAGATGACTGGTTGTTTTGGTGCCTTAGTACCTTAGTATGAGATTGACCCCAGACAAAGATTTTCCAGTCTTTTGTTTTTCAATTCCAACTCCATCACTGTGATGGCACCTTTGTGCATTCTATGAAGGAACTGTTCACTGATCTAAACTGTGAGTATCTCAGACCTATATAGCGGAGGGGCAGAACCCAGCTCAGTGGAATTCTACTTATTAAGTTCTGTTATGGAACAGATTGGAACTTATGAAGTGCGAAACACTCATACCCCTTAAAGGGACACTATAGTACCCCAGACCATTTCAGCTCAATGAAGTGGTCTGGGTGCCAGGTCCCTCCGGTTTTAACCCTTCACATGTAAACATAGCAGTTTCAGAGAAACTGCTATGTTTACATAGCAGGGTTATTCCAACCTCTAGTGGCTGTCTTCCTGACAGCCGCATGAGGCGCTTCTGCAAAGCTGGATGTGAAATTTGCATCCAACGTGCAGAATGCCCATAGGAAATCATTGAGAAATGCTTTCCTATAGACTGTTTGAATGCGAGCGCGGCTCTTGCCGCGCATGCGCATACCGCTCCACTCGGAAGCTGAAGTCGGCGGGGGTGAGGGTCCCCTAAGGATGACATAGTATCAGGAAAAAAAGTTTGTTTCCTGACACTATAGTGATCATTTATATGTTCGGCGAGATTTTATCCATATCTTACAATATAAGACTAAGCTTTGTTCTGCCCTTTTGCCATTTGAAATAACAAAATAGTCCTCAAATCACAGTCAGTTTTTGAGCCATGTCTTAATGTTACAGATTACCTGCTACAGTGAGAGGATGATTATGAGACTAAAGAAGCCCCAGGGTCTTCACTGCCTGCATCTGCTGCTCTAACTGTAATATAAATGTGATATTACACGCTTTACAGCATTTAAGATGCTCAAACATAAATGACATATATATATAGTTTTTTATTTATTTATATATATATTATTTTTTTTTTTTTAAATTGGACGGGGGGGACAGTGGGGCAAGAAACATTAGTGTATATAAAAAAATACTAACTTAATGTGCAATTAACTTTGTGAAATTCTATCTGATATAGCAAAGCTGTGACTGTAACGGAGTTGGAGAACTTTCCCTATAAATTCGAAATTTGATGTTTGATTCACCACAATTCAATGTTTGGTGAAGGTACTATTATCATATTGTGGCTTATTTCAATCTGAAGCACGTAGTCTGATCCAGCTGTTTCAATAGTAGGATTCTCATTTTTAAACGGGATCCATGGAGAGGAACATAACCATTGCACGCTTACATCTAACTCAGAGGGCTTGCAGCGAGACAATGTGTCCTGCTAACTGACCTCTGCGTACAACCCTTTACTAATAATTCTACTTAAAGAGTACGTCAACGACATTTTAAAATGCTGTGGTTATTCGCAAAACATTAAAGCTAAACTCATCACATTTCAAAGCACTCTATATTTTACTATTGTTACTGACATTCATATTAGGACCCTGCTTCGAGTATAGCAAACATTTGTGAATGTGGGGTTTAACATTTTCTCAAAGTAGTTTTCTCTGACTGAGGATAATAGGATGTAAGTCTCTGACAGTCAGTCTCTGGTTATGCCCAGTTTGTATACCCCATAAAAATATAATGCCCATGCTAAATATTATTTAATTTGGAAATAATAATAAACTGTTACAAAAGCAATTTCAAGACTCTGCTGGCTTAAAATAATTTACTATACTTTTCATACACTGTTACACTTGTTCCAGTTGGGTTAATATTTCAGTGAGGACTAACACTTGTACCTCATGTATAGCTTAACTACATTTTCTACATTTTCAGTTTAAATACTTCTTCAAAAGCATCTCTGTGAACAGAGTGTAGTGTCCCATTATAGTATATAAATCTGAAAGCACTTTTATCCTTTAGGGGTATTGCTAAACAAGTTTACTTCTCGTGACAGTTCAATAAAACACTGACATTTTATTAAAGATGTAGCGGAACTATCATCAATGCAGCCGGTGTGGCAGTACATGTCCCATCAGGGGACCAGTGACCGAGCCCCTGTCACATCAGCAGTACTGGGAGGAAGTAAGCTCAGGTCACTTCCTCCCGGCTTACGGAGAGAGGAGGCACATATGTCGGGGAGAGGAAGAAGAGGGCCTACTACAGTCTTAAGCAAGATCCCACTGGAACCCAGGGAAAACACTTCTCTGCACCCAAAAGGTATGGAAACAGGAGGGTGACTGAAAATATGGAAATTATGACTATTCAGTGTGTGTATTTGTTAATGTGTGTTTATGTATCCGTGTCAGAGTGTGTGTATTTGTGTCAGTGTATCTGTGTGTATGTGTATACATACCAGCATTCAAATGGCAACACTACACACAAACACATCCCTGCAATCAAACGAAAACACTACGCTCAAGTACACCACTGCTTTCAAGTGCCAACAATACATACACACAACTGCATTCCAATGCCAACACTACACACAAATGCACCCCTACACGCACAATACACACACGCCATACAAAAAAGGCTTACACTACTCACTGAAAAGATGGGTAAATGGTAACTCCTTAACAAGCACAGCATTGAGGGTATTGTATGACAGACTGGGCTCTATCTTTTGACCACCCCAAAATTCCTGCACATGTGCCCTCTCTACATTAGTTCTGTCACTGTCAAAGTGCCACCAATTGCTATCACGTTTCATCAATTCTTCAGGGTCAGTTACCGGTAGCACCTTTCACATTTGACATGACATTAGAATTTGTAGCTATCAGCAATATTCTTGGAATGTGTTAACCCTCTGATTATCAGATGGGTGGCCAATTACTTGGTAATCTTGATTATCAGATGGGTGGCCAATTACTTGGTAATCTTTATCAAACCTCAGAGAAAGGCAATATAATACGGAATGAGAGCATAATTGAGACATAGGTTCACAGTAGTTCAGTGACCACACTTGGCCACATCTTGCCTCTGGTGGATGATCAGTGTTTTTCTGCAGGAGTTATCTGCTCCTTGTTTCGCAAAAATAGCTGATGCATTTATTCCAGTCTGTGACTGGTCTAATGGAATGATAGAATGCAAAGATACAATGGCCTGAAACTCCCCAGAGTCATTAAACGTGTGCTTCATAATGCATTTACGTTTCAGAAGTAGATGTACACAAATGTAACCATCTCAGCATTAACACATTCAGAAAAGTAAATATTTTCAGTCAGGGAGTGGATATATAAATTATCAGTAATAACAAATAATTAATAACATGTTTTCAAAATTCTCCAATTTTGTTATCTTTCCAGCTCAGCCAATATAATTAAAATGGTATTATTTATCATGAATCCCCAGTTTAATAATCAAAAAAATAATATAAATGTTAGGTTCTTACTATAAATTAGGGAAGATGATTTTCTCATGCTACGGCCAGGCGTATTAAATGGATTAAATTGACAGTATGGTGGTAGGGTTGGCAAGTACCCACAATTGTTTTTTTTTTTTATATAAACTAAGACTTATTGTTGTCTACTCTATAAGGGCATTTTATCAATGTTGTTCTAGTACAAAATACACAAAATCAGAACAAGTAAATTAAGCCCTTACAGAATCTATCAGTATCTGAAACTTTGAAAGAATTTGTGCTATAATTTCTCGTGTGTTTATCATGTAAACATTAAAATCAAATAACACTATCATATTAATTGGAGCAAAACATGTAATTAGCATTCAAAATAATTGTATACAAAGACACACTGCCATGACTCCTCTTGAGGATTTGTAAGTAATGTTGTGATATTTTTGGGAATGCAGTTTCCCAGAATACCAGCAGAATGTCAAAGAAATGTATTCTTTTTGCCATAATACAACATACTAAATACTGAGCATGTGTATTTAATAAATACAAGCTCAAACACAATGTCTTTACCTGTGAAAGGTAAAGGGAATCATGGCAGCCAAGGGACAAAAAAGGCCCAGTCCTGGTGGAAAGATTTCTCCTTTGAGTAAGGAATAGTACAGAGGTAAAGGTTAAGATAGAGGGGCAATACAAAAAGGAAACCAATGACCAGTATATATGTTTGTGGTAATGAATGGATTTATAAGACAAGTAAACATACTGCACCCTACTGGTTTCAGGTAGCAATAGCAGAATTGTTTGCTTCAAATAAATCTGCTAACTAAATGGTATTTAAAAAAAATATATTAAGGTAGTAGTAAGACTCACTATTTGTTAAGGTGCAGCTTTGAAATTCCACCTTTTCTTTAAATTCATTTTCTAGAAACTACAAAAGGTGGTAGGCTTAAATTAGCCAGGATTAGCAGGGTAACAAGCCTCATTTGTCATCGCAGCTTTGATGATAAGCACCTGATGGCTCTACTTCCAGAGAATCCACAGGTATTCTTATAGAATCTGTTCTAATATAGACTCAATGTGATCTGCAGGTAAAACCTTTTACTTTTTATATACATACACTAAAACTTCTAACGCAAACAGGACATGCTATACGAATTCTACATTAGTAAATACTAATTGCAAAATAGTAAGGATTGCTACGGAATTTTTATGGCACTATATAAATAATAAAATAGTAATAATAATGGCAGGTAGATGGATCTATATCCCTTCTGGCGATCTAGTGGGTAGAATTGTGATTGGTGCCTTCGGTGCTCACAGATTTCTATGTGCCTGTTCTTTTATTAAGCCTCAATTATAGTGCCTTTTAGCACTGGGTTGGGGCTTTCTATCCTTTTCTTTTTAGACCGCTATACCATGATGCTAAGTTAGAGTGTCGGGAATGAGACACTCCACCGCCCAAATAAAAATTTTTTCCTGTTACAAAATATCACTGTTTAGTAGACATACCCCTAATGAAACTGTGCATGTATTTACTTATGCATTTTTAAAAATGGGGAGTAGCTCTAAAACAGCTAAGCCCTCCCCTAATAATCCCTCCAAACTTTCTGTGGCTATCCAATCACAGACTCCCAAATGCAGCTCACTGAAAATTCTTTGCAAGGCAGGTGCTCTGGGCAATTGCTGCCTTTAGCTCCACTGAGCTAATCATGAAGTAACAGGACCTGTTGTCTGATTGACAGTCATTAATTCTGCACTTTTTGTAAAGGAAGGACACAATTTTGACATGTAAAGCATTTCAGCAAGCTAATGTTCTTTAGGGGTGAGAAGTGTTAAATACAGAGGGGAAAAAAACTCCTATACTCTACCAATGGCAGCAAACAAACTAAAACACAGCCCGCCGGACCGGCGAGGCTGCCACCCGGTCCGGCGGCTCTAACATGAAACGGCCGCCCCCCCCTCACAGTGTGCCACCGGACTGGCCACCCGGTGGCACCTGCAGTCCCCCCCCAATCCAGCCCTGCCGCCGGGCCCCCTGAAGGCGGCCCTGGCGGCGGGCCCCCCTCCCGGCCGGGCCCTCGGACCGTGTCCGAAGTGCCCGACCGGTCAGTCCGCCCCTGCACAGGTGACAGTTTTCTTATAATGCAAATACAATCAACAGGACTTGCAAATATATCACATAATGGAATCATATCACTTGCAAGTATAATGCAACATAATATATATAAAACTATATCTAACAATCTCTGATTTGATTATAAATATATAAGGAAAACACATTTAATGCTACAAAATTTAAACATGAAATATCTCTTTCCAGCTAATTATTGGAAAAATGTAACAAGTATTTTTTACTTTTGCAGTCCTGATTGTAAGTCAAAGGACTGACCTAATGTCCTTGAAATCTACATATTGTAAGTTCAGCTTTGAACACACTTTATATAGCAAGTTGCTCTCACATCAGCCTCTTGCTTGCTAGAGTGTAATCACAACTAAAGGAGGTGAGACAACAGCGTATAGAAAGGAACATTTAAAACATGCATTAAATATATTCCTTGTTGCACAAACAGAAATACTCACAGTTATAGCCAGAAGCCTCTCTTTCATTAATTCAGCTTCTTCCATTCTGAAAAGTTACACAGAAAGATACATTCAGAGATAAAAATCACAAAAACCTGAGCAGGGAAAGTCAGTGCAGGTCCTGAGACTGAGCCTTAGCTAATGTGGAAAGGAGTGGAGTTTCTTAATGGGCTGAGACAAGTCAATGGATCAGCCCAGACAGGCACATGTAATGTAAGGGTGTGATTCTTCAAGCAGACAGAATGACAAGTTTCAACCACATTGCTCAGGATTCTATGTTGTAATAGGCTGTCAGGTCCCTGTTGCTAAGAGAACAAGTATCACATTACTTTGTATAGTTTAATCCTCTGCTAAATAAATAAAATATTGCATTATCGTGAATTACATTTTGCACAATTACTGATTGTGCAATAGTGCATGGGAAAAGGGCAAAAAAACAACAAATGTATATTCATATTAAAAATAAACATGTTAAAATTGTACATTTAAATATATATATATATGTATTTATAAAATTGTGTAATAACTTGTACATCCATCTAACTACATATTGTGATATTACAGATTCACATTGAGGGTATGGTAATAAACCATGAATAGTGTAATTATAGCCATATAATCTGAGTTTACTGATTGCAAAGGACCCATACAGATAACAGATTTCCAAAACACAGTCACAGGGAGCTATAAGCAGCTCAGACATCTGTTAAGGAACCCCATTGATGGAAGAGAGTGATTGATGCAATGAGACAAACATATGTCATATACTTATGGGAACAGAATATATTATTTATTTTTGGTTTTTAAAGAAATAGTACTCCCTTATCAAAACTTTCTGCTAAATTGGGATTGGCTGTGACTCTTCTTTTAAAACAGATATTGTGTTCTTTAGTTTGTGTCTAATTCAATAAATTGCCATTGTAACAGAGGGATTCACCTGATTAGGATTGCTGGAGATTGAAACCCAACACATAAAATCAATTGGGGTTTATTATAACTTCTCAATAAGTAACTAAGTACTGACAGAACCTGAGATCACAAAGGAGATTGTGCTGATAGGGCTGTCAGCAGGCAAATAGTTAACTCAATCACTAAACGGTTCATCCACTGGCCATTTCGGTTGTGTTGCGAACATTTGGACAAATCACAATTTAATTACTTCTGAAAATACATCTCTAAGTCTAGTCTTCATGCACAAAATGTTTTTTTTTTTTTTGTACTGTACATTTTTCACAATGAATCACTTCACTCTAGATAAGAACACAGTTTAAGAACTGTTAAATAAACATTATTTTGGGCTTTATTGGTTACCATATCAACATCAGCCGTGACCACTGCTCTTCTGAGTATTGTATTGCCATTGGCAATCATGTATTAATTTTGGTTGGAATGCACTGATTAGGGTTGCCTTGGTTGCATTAGAAAAAGAAAATTATAGTATGTGTGTGACCAATAATTTGAATGCAGTCCTGCAGCATGTATTTTTCAGAAGGCTTCTCATTTAAATGTTAAATGGGAATATTATGTGATATTATATATACATTAATGCACACGGTACTGACACTGGAAACACATGATTAACAGTGGCTAGTATTAATATAAAATAAACTTAGATTTAAAGGGACACTCCTCTGCCAAATACACAGACACAAATCACTGTTTAGTGAAAACTTGCATGCATTAAATTAGATATATTTTTTATTGCGGGCATATCTAAAAACCGCTTGCAAAAGCTGCAGTTCTCTTGTCTGCAGCCTTTGCAAGCCCTCCTCTTCTAACCCCGCCCAGTCTTTCTGTGACTGTCCAATCACAGACTTTCCAATACAGCTCAATGAGAAGTCTTTAGAAGGCAGGTGCTCTGAGCTATTGCTGCCTCTTGAGTTTAACTCCACTGACAGGAAGTAACAGGACTGTTTGTATGACTGACAGTCGGGGTTGGGCGTGTGGTTGTAACCAGGCTAATTTATAATAGTGCCAATTTCTATTGAAATCTGCATTTTTGTAAAATGAAAAAAGAGGGGACACTCTTCCCTCATAAAGCACTTCAGTAAGTTTAAATGCTTTAGGAGAACGACCCTTTAATTTGAGATGAATATGCAAATCATATATCAGTTTACTGTATTAATTCCGGTTTCATACATGAAACCACCATGACCACTTATGCTTTTATTCATGATGGTGCTAGGTGTCTCTATATGTACATTTCTGCTTGAAATGCTGCACATCCAGAGATGTATGCACCTTTGTGCAAAAAATCCGTCTGTTAGCGTGCAATGTGCGCTGGAGACAGACATTGTATGCTCCTCCCCAGGCAGGCAGCCTTGGGAACGAACCTGCAAGGGAACGTTTGATCTCGCCCTCCTCCATTTTGTGCATTTATTTATTTTTATATACCTCTGGAGTAGACTATAAGCTTGTTTGGGCAAGTTCCTCGTCTACCCGTTATTTCCGTTTCATTTTTTGAATGTCTCATTTATTGTTAAATATCCGCCTTTTTATAATATTGTAAAGCGCTATATAAGTTGGCGCTATATAAATACCAATAATAATAACTTTTTAATATGATCGTGATAGGCATTAATGAAGTTAGAGAAAGCAGGATTATAAGACATGCCAGAACATCTCGTATGTATATTGGCTTTACACTATATATCTACCATACTTGAATGCATTTTTTTCTGCCCATTGGATTTAATACTTATTTGCGACTCTAGAGAATTCTAGATGGCATGTGATATTTACACCGCTAAATGAACTGAATGTTCTTTTCTTGAATCCATGTTAGAATAATGAATAGAAATTAATGCTGAAATATTAAATCAAATAAACAGCCAATCAAAATAATACCTGATCACACGCACGGACAATTCCCAACATTGCTCATAGTAGTCATATGAGTAAAGCCCTAATGTGATGAAATATGGAATTTATATTTTTAATACACACGTTGAGAATGTCTGGTAGTGGGAACAGCTGAACCATAAAATTCCAAAAGGGATTATATAAAATTATCCAAACTCAGTCATCAACTATTCACAGGACTAAATGAAGACTATTGGATTACGCATGAGGCCTGCCTGTACGCTTTATAAAGCATGACGACATGTTGGAAATATTTAGCACGCCAGTGTAAACTTCTACAGCTTTATCTGTCGTATCAAACACAAAATGCAATAGTACTGCGGTCGACAGAAGAACAATCTGCAAGCCTACTTCTGGCACATGCTTGTAGACTCTATTTCCCATAATAGTCAAGAACGTTAACAGCATCAGTGTTCTATAAGATGACATTTTTTATTCTGACTGTTGGTACTTATTATTATTATTATTAATATTTTATTATTTATATAGTTACAGCAAATTCCATATCGCTGTACAATGGGTGGACTAAGAGACACGTAATTGTAAACAGACAAGTGGACGCACAGGAACAGAGGGGTTGATTGCCCTGCTCAATGAGATGCCTTGGATTCCAGTTAATCCTTATTCACATTGTTATTATTAATCCTTAATTTTTTATGCTTGTGCTAAAACAGTGGATAGACACTATGTAGAACCTCACTTGCAGTTGGAAAAATACTTCCACAATCTATATTGTTTAACAAGTCAAACGTTGGTCGACAGCCGTGGATGCGTATATTGTTTAACAAGTCAAATGTTGGCCAACAGTCGTGGATGCGTTGTCAACTGTGGCAGAGGGAACTCTATGTAAAAAGAAATCCATTTTATGCTTGCACCACACCATATATGCTAGCCACCCATGACACAGTAGACCAGGTCTGCACAACCTGTGGTCCCACTACAACTCCCATGATCCCCTGGCTATCAGACATGATTTCTGGGCTAGCGGTTTTAATAAAAGAACATGGACGTTGGCTATTTGTTTTATTCAAAGAATTATGGGTGTTGTAGTTCAAAATACCTGGGGGGGCACAGGTTTTGTAGGCCTGCACTAGCCACACAAGACAGATGCTAGCCATACATGATCTAAGCTTGTTAAAACAGACGCATACTAGTTATATGGATGTAGTGTAATAATGTATTTATTAAACCTCAAGGTGGGCTGAGTGGACCCACAAACAAAGCCATCTCATGTGACAGCAGAAGGCTTGGAGTTATGAAGAAACATTTAAATGCAGTAAAAAATTCAGACACTTTGCCATGGCCAGTAAACCGTGTTGGATGTGCTGCCCAGTATCATCAAGAAGAATTGGATGGGACATTTTTATTTGTCTAAATCTAAGACCACTTGCTACCAATGTATCACTTTATGTATCAAATTCATTTTATTATATATCAGTTTCTAGTTTTGGGGGGGGGGGGATTAAAATTGAGAACTCTTCTTATATATTTGGGACTTGTAGTTAAACAGGTGTTGGCAGAATTAAACTCTAGTTAAGAAAATAATGGACCATTCTACTTTGCATGGCTCTTTCTATAATTTGATATAAAAATATTTTTTCTCTTTTGTCTTTTGGCTCATATTTACAGCATCATGTAACCTCTTACGGAGCAAATTTCACAGTTTGATCCCACGTAGCTATGCTGAGATTGCGTTAATCCCTATATGAGCTAGCTTTACGTAATCGCCATTGAAACACACCAGCTGTCCTGTAAACGGAACTCAGAGCTCTCCCACCAATGACCAGGCAGAAATTAAGATCACTCATTTAGCACGTGTTCAAATGCCAGACTCCAAGCAGCTGCTACTGTGTCTGGATGAAGCATAAACAGGATCTCTAAACGACCATCGCACAATCCTCTTACACACTAGAAATAGATGATAGTCTTAATCACTAAACAAATGCTATTAGCGAATAGTAATGAGCAAATCCTTTGTGATGAAGTGTAGTAGAGAGTGTAAGACATGAAGATGATTTATTTTTCTGCAGTGAATTTAGATCAACTGTTTGTTTTAATCCATAAGTAGTATTTCTTGATATTTTGTTTCAAAAGTAACTAACTTGGCATATATCATATAGTATCTGTACACAATGTTGCGGTGTTGTACAATGGTTATCATTGCCAAACTGATAAAACGGATA